AAACCAATGAAAATCCAATTAAGAGGCAATTTCTGCACTGAAAAATCTCTTTTGACATGACTGAACTATAACGCTACAAGTTTAAGTAGGATAAACTAAAGAGAATAAATGTGCCATGTGTTGCTCTAAAATAATCCCAGAACTCAATGTATATTCCCTTCTGAATATACGTTAAGTACCAAGTTTTGTTTCTGAGAAGTTATTTTTAATTATGGCTTTCTCATTAAACATACACACTCCAAATTTGAGGGAGAATGACAAAACTGAATGTTAAGACTACAGTATGAAACAATTCCGTGCAAGGCTTCAGCATATTTCCTCAAAGATCTGGACAACAGTACACCATGGGCTTCAGCCAAGATAGCATACTTCCTTTTAATAAACTGTAATTGCCAACTCATGGATATGACTATTAGTGCAAATGAGTCAATCCCGACTCGTAACCTCAAGTGTGCCCAAAAGCACTTCATAGGCTGTGACCCACCAGAAGCAGAATGGCAAGGCCTTACTTCCAAAGTGCCTTTAGTGGGTTTGAACCAACCTTTGTGGTTAGTAGTCTGGCATGTAATCATTTGTAATGCCCAGGAACTCAACTGGAAACACAGGCCCTACAGAGTTTTGAAATACAAATAGAAAAGCAACTGGAAACATGCTCGTTAATATGCTAAGGTACATCAATATGAGTCTTTGACACTAAAGCATATATGCATATTTCACCACGGCCATTCAGTTGATTCTGACTCAGCAATCCTTTATAGGGTCCTCTGCAGCTATCAGCCTTTATAGAAGCACACAGCCTTAGCTTTCACCCAAGAGTGGCTGGTAGGTTCCAACCACCAACCTATGGTTAAGCCAGCTAATACTGACCTGACAGTGCCATATACAAATGGGTACATAGGTCCCTATTTGTTCTAAAAACAATCTTTTCATATATTTTTATCCATGCAAACAAAAAGATCTAGAAGTAGACAAACTTAACATTGGTTATTACTGGGCAATGAGTTTTTAAATTTTAAAATATTGTTTCTGAAAATTCTTATTAACGCAAATAATTACTTTCCTCTAAATTGACACCCAGAATCCCTAGAACGCTAGCTTAAAACTACATACAAAAAACCTCTCCCTAGTTAATAGCCACGACTTTAGCCAAGCTACTTAGGTAAATCTTCAGCTAATTTCAAAGTTGAGATAATATGCTCTCTTGATAGATTGATACTAAATATTACCATATATACTCGTGTATAAGCCGAGTTTTTGAGCACAATTTTAATGCCGTTTTTGTGGTAAAATTAAGTGCCTCAGCTGGTATTCAGGTCGGCTTAAATACCTGAGTATACAGGTACTTAACATAAAATGGTAACCTTCAGTTATACAGGTGAACAGCATATACAAATACACAAAATCTGGCAAAGATAGCTTGTCCCTAAAGTAAAACTACTAGGATAGCAATGGCCCTAATACAAGTGATTATTATAAAGCTTTGGAATTTAAAAGAGCCAATAACTATGTACTTTGTGTTAATATTACAAATTTTGAAATAACACTATTCTTACCACCTAGCACATTGAATTCTGAAGTAGCAATTATGTCAGCTAAGATATATGGTTTGATAAGAATTTAGAACCACAAACATTACTTTTGTCACCAACAGCAAAAAGAAACATATAATAATGTTTTTAAGTTATGATACAGCTAGTCTGGCACATTATAGACATTAGATTTGAGGTTAAAAAATTTTTGAGGTAGGTATACTTACATGCATATGCAAGAATATTCAAGATTTGCAAAACCATTATCCCATTTTAATAGCTTTAAAGGTACAAAAATGTGCCTGGACATTTACCTATTAATAGTGATCACACTCAAAGAGGACTTGCGTTGTATTGGTGAAATTTTGTTTAATTTCAATAGTTTCTTTTAAAAATATATACCAGAGCCAAGGAGATTCAGTTGACTTCAACATGGAACTTCGAAGAGTTCACAAAAAAAAAAAAAAATTAAGATAATGGAAATTTTCCACAAACGTCTGTAAGCCCTCGTTTGTATCGGCATTTCCTGTGACTTAAAGTGCAATTCAAAAGGTATGCATTATAACTTACAAAACACACGAAAATTGTTTCTTAGGTTTTATCTATGCTTTCATGGGAGTTTACACTGGGAAAAAAATTTTTCAAAGTATTTTCACTCTTAATAAAACATGAGGCACAACAAAATAACCTACTGAGGCAATAGATAGTAAAAGAACTATCCTACCATTTTAGAGGCCAGTCTTGCTCTTTCAGAAAGCCAGACTAGGCCCCAAATTTCAGACTTCTAAGCTCATAAAAGTGGGACAGACTTACTCTCTACATGTAAATGTCATTTGGGTAACATTGGCTAGACACAAGTTGTATTCAAATCAATCCAACATCCAAATGCCCACTTTCAATCAGCAAAGACATGTTATATTAAAAAACCAAACCCCCAAATTTTAGACACTAAAAAAACACATTTAAGAGACAGAAGAGCCTATAAATCAAGTCATTTCTGGTCTTTAAGAAAATAACCATAAATGCAAATTCTCAAATATCCTCACTTTTAATCTTGCTTAGAAAAATATGCATCCTAAGAAAATCAATCAATAGATCGACTTGATGGCTATTAACTTTTAACAAGCTTCTTCAATATTCAAAATTTATTGTTAAAGGTCTTGAAATAACTTACCATTGTATTTACCTTAAATTTCAAAAGATCTTTACAGTAAAGGATAAAAATAGCAAGTCCATTTTTACTCTGCCAATATTTCAATTGACGTCAAGCACCTATTCTTCAGGGTAAAATTCTAATACCAGGTTGTATACCACCTTATTCCAATAAATCCTTAATATTTAAATTTGTAGTAATAATGTTCAGATAATTCCCAGCGGTTTATCAGTACCCTAAAAAATTTCACATACCAAAGGTGTTTGCATAAAAATACTTGAGGATTCCAAGAAATACTAATACCAGTTTTTCCTGCATTGTTCTGAACCCCGCCATACATACACTTGCAATAAAGTTCTGAGGATGGGTGAAGTCCTATCTGGCATACAGTTCTACTCTGCAACGGTCACCACGAGTCAGAATCAACTCTACAGCAACCGACTTGGCTTTATGTTGGCAATACAAAATGGCATAAGACTTTTAATCCTCCCCACAAAAGGTGGACTAAGCCAACTGATCCAGCAAAACGCACAAAAATAGTAATCCTTAGTTAAGCATTAATAGGTAGGCAAGTCACTTTGTGTCCTAGAGCTCCACAAACTGAACCAAATGATCAACTGTGAGTAACCTGTTATGTGAACCATTAAACGTGAAAAATAAAACTTAAGAGCAAAAAGATTCAACTATGTTTACTACCATATTCAATTTACCCAATTCCAGAAGCATACATTTTTATCACTTATCAGTGATCCTTTGTCAAAGAGTATTAAAAGCAGTCATATTAACCTAACCCTAATTACCTTTCTTCATGGCTTTTAAAAGAAGTCCTGGAAATTAGGAATTTAGCAAGAATTAGACTTTTTTTTTTTTTTAAAGAATTAGACTTTTAAGAACCACCTAGTGACACAACTATAAAGTAAAAAAGGTATAAAAATGTGCTTACTTGTCAAGTTCAATAACTCTTCCCCCTCCCAGTCAGAAACTTTGGACTTTCAACTAAGACATAAATCAAATTATTTAACATTAAGTTAAATAAACATTAGGAGGTACTCTGACCCCGCCCACCAGTTTATACATAGTCTCACTCAATCATGTAAAGAATTGAATTCTTTATTTGCGATATCCATAAACGTTGCTATTCTCTATTTCTATCCAGGTAGGCAATTTTCTCCTATTATCATTTTTTGTTTTCTTTTTTATAAACAACAACTTGAATTCTATTGCATGAAAGGGCTACAAATATACATTTGTTAACCAAGCAGAATACAGATATTTTGCTTTACAACTTGCACCTAAGATACCAGTACATGTGGCTGGTTTGTTGTCATAGCAATAGAGGCTATTTGCCCAAGCTATGCATAGCAGTTTACATTTCAAAACTTATGTATAAAGGGCAACTGTGATACTCTTATGTTCCTGTGAAGCCCATTTGAATTACAAGTAAAAATGTTAACTCCCAAGTCTGCAGATTTCCGATGGGCAAACATCCTAATCTGAAGCAATTGTCCTAAACAAGTTTTTTTTAAACAAATTGTTTTGCAGATATACTGCCATTCTGCCAGTAGATGGTGCTACATAGGGTTAAGTGGGAAGGATTTCCATGAGGACAACAGTTCAGGTTTAGGAAAAAAAGACGTTTAAACCTGCTCTGAAAATACAAAAATGCATTTAGCTCAAGGGTAAAATATAACCCTCATTTGCAACTATTCATTACAGACAAACCAGTAAGAGGGCTGAAAGTAAGCCATCTGAAAATTTTTAAACAGTTTATATGAATGAAAACACATGCTTAACACAAACTATTTTAGAACTACACAGTACATACTTTGAAGTAAAGTCTCATAAAAATAAGTGACCACCCATGTCAAGATGACAAGCAAAACGCTTGGTACAGGAGATGGATGCACAGAAAACTTAAAAGGGATTTAGAAAAGCCACATCCACCACTTCAAAAGTTTTGCCTATTAGGGATAAAATTCAACAGCCACTAACAGGGCAACAAGAAAGGAAAAAAACACCACAGGACTCCTTTAAAGTCTGTCTAAGTACACATCAAGAATTAACACGAAAAATCTTCAACTAATATTCCTTGAGACGGTACGGAATGGGTCCTAGAAAAAAAAGGTTAGACTTGTCCGGTCAAACACAATGATTTATTAAAAATAAAACGTAAAAATGATTTTTTTTGTACATATGCTTCCAAATTTCAGGCATGGGATCCAAGTAGATTTCGTAGAAAACGCTGTAGAGCCAGGTGTATCAAGTCCTTACAACAAAGTAACTACCCCCCACCCCAGCCCACCCCCACCCCGCCCAGGTTTTGCTACAGAATCAGCAAGTTCACGCCCTCCCCCCCCCAAAAAAAAACACAAATCAAAACAAGACATTTTGCTAGTATAAAAACGACCAAGGTCCAAGTAATAATAAAAAAATAGAGTCCATCAATGACTGTAACACAAAAATGTGTAAGTGGGGCCGAGTCCATCTCCGGAGGGGTGGCAGGCAGTGGGGGACGACACCCCCAAGGGGAAGCCAGCCCGAGCGGCTCCCTCAAGGGCAAAGTGGGAAAGGCGGTGGGAGAGGCAAGGAGGGACTGACCCCACTTGGGGTGTTGAAAGATCTACCCCCAATGGCCACTCGCAGGCATTTGCTCGATTTCCTTTCTTAAAAGGAGCTGCCGCCATAGCCACCCCCGCCGCCATAGCCGCCTCTGTAAGGTCCACTGTTACTGCGGCCGCCCCAGCTGCTGCCGCCTCCCCC